AAAGCTTGTAGCTGCTTTGCCCCTTTTCAATTTGTTTCAAAATTCACTACAGATGGCTTCAAATTAGCTGGAATGCTACATTTCATATGCAGAAGTAGTGTTTATAAAGACTCTACAAAAAATTATTCCTTCTGGAAGAAGGTGGATGCATGACTGTCAATTTCAGGATAATTGTTACCTTTTTGTTGATTGTCAGTCCATATCCAGAAATGAGAGGGAAAAGTATTAAAAAGATTGTCTTTACATACATTCTTTCTCACTTGTTTCTGGTTACTATTAAAGAAATGAAACATGATTTTATGACTTAAAAAAAAAAAAAAAAAATTCCTAATGCTATTTACACAGGGACACAGCCACACCGATTGCCATTGACCACGTACATGGACTTTTGTCCTGTTCCAAGGACAGGACAGATTTGGCTGGTCCTAAATGCCTATGCTGCAGACAGTCCTGCCAGAAAGATGCATCTCCAGCGCTGAGCCCTGGCATCCCTCAGCGCACACGTGATGGGGAGGAAACGTAGGCACGTATGTCCGCTCTGGAGCTGCGGGTGTAACTTGAATTAGCACCAAGATTTCTGGCTCAGCCATGACCAGGGTGATGCTGGAGCACGGAGGGGTCCCCCAGGGTCAGCAGCTCACCCTGGCTGTCCCCAGGCTGGTGTGGGTGGGGGGCAGCCCTGGGACCCCTGGGAGGGTGCCGACCTGGGTGGACTGCCATCGCCCTGTGGGGCTCTGGGTGGCGAGCCAGACCAGGTTGCAGAGACTATTATTTCACTGTGCAGAAGCTGTTCTTGGTGAACTTTCTCGAGGCTGCTCTTCCCCTGAGGTCTCCTCTGAAGGGATACGGCTTTCTGTTTGTCTTGGCTTGCCAGCGGAGGGGCCGGTTTTGTTCACACCACTCAGATCCTGCAGGGCCAGCATGTCCCTGTCCCTTCTGAAGGAGGGCAGCCACTTGCAGCCAAACGCTGCCTTCCTTCTTCCTTTTATGTAGGGCACATGAGCAAAATTAATAAACCCGAGAGGACTGCTCGCTGCCTCCCTGTGCACTGTGCATGGAGGTTGTCTAAAAAAAAAAGAAGTACTAAAGTTGTGTCTTTCCTTTTGAGATACAGTAGGGACTGGAGTGCGGAGCCATGTCCCTGGGAGTGTGTTCTGATTGCTTCTTCAACTTCTGTTTATACAATTTTACAAAATTTTGGCAGGAATCAAGAGCACATACCAGGGTGTTGGCTTTTATGAATCCCATGGGATGTGAAAGTCAAGCTGACTCGATGAACTTTGGTTACATATTCCAGACAAGCACAATGACTCTATTTATTCAGACTTGGCAGCCAGAATGCAGATTGACTCTGTGGGTAATAAATTTTCACAGCCACAAAACTTCAGCGGCAACCAACCTGATCCCGCGCAGAAAAAATGCATACAAGGAAGCAGACTTGGGTTGCAAAAATATGTTAGATTATTATTCCATGTATGTGTACCAGTCAGTTAATTTATTTGGCTATCGATAGACATGAATTGCACAAATGATGCCAGGGATCTTTTTCCCCTTAAAGGAGCTACTTTCTACTACAAAATGTTCATATTGTAAAAGGACAGGTACAGCAGAAAAAAAGAGGGAATTGTTCATATTACAATTGACAATCTCCTTTTAATATTTCACCCAAGACTGATTTAAGCTATCCAGTGACCTCTACGGAGAAGAGCAGGGTATTATAATGGGGACTGTTTCATGTGCTATGCCACACTTCAAGGAACCAAAAGGCAATAACCACTACAATTCAGTACTCCGAACAATCTTAAGTACAATTTTGACATCTTCATGCTACAAAGCTTCAGATGCTTTCTGGGAGAGATGATGATGAAATTATTACTCTATGTGTTATAAATCAAAATGAATTGGGTCTTTAACTTGCAGATTTATGTTAACTACCTTGGTATCTGTTAATTGCATGCTCTTCACATATTGATTGGGGATTAAAAAGTATATTTTCTTCAATCTGTGTGATGTAAAATATGCCAACAGGAAATTTTCCCTCTGCATATTAGATCCTATGATCACTGCCTGTAAAATTAAAACGATCAGTTTAAATGGATAAACTATGCTCATTAAAGAGGAAAAATACATTTATGTAATTAAAATTAAGAGACTAATATGTGTGGATAATGTAATTACTGTGGGCGCGCACACACTCAGCTCAAACTCAGCCTCTTTTGCTTCTCCTGGGTCTGTGAATCTACCTTAATTGCTGGCACAGAGGGAAGGATTGAGAATGCCTTGCCCACTGTGGTCCCGAAGCTCTTAATCATGCCTCTGTCTCACATTTGGCCTCCCTCATCCATGGCTCATGCTCCCTGGGTCAGTCACAGCCCTCCAAATGCCAGCCCTGGGAGTGCAGAAGCACCTATCCCCCTTTGCACCTCTTCAGAAACTTTCTGTTCGCTGCTCGGCAATTTTAGACACAAATGCAAAATCTCCTCCAAAGTTTTCAAAGTCTTCCCCCCTAAACTTCCCCATTTAGAAATTAGCAAAATGAAAAGCTTCTTGTAAAGCTCACCTTCAGCTCTTTGAGAAATTGGACCACTTAAATGAGTCTGATTGCTCAAAGATTAATTAATTACATGAGGAATACCGGGGAATCACTCATGTACTGTTCCTATCCCTTCATCTTTAATTTCTTTCTTTCCTGTTCCCGAGCTATGGAGGAGAGCCGAGATTGAAGAGCCTCAGAACTGGGAAGTAAAAGGAAACAGGTTCTCCCATCGACACGTAGACACAGATCCTTGTTGTAATCTATGCATTTATTAGCAGAGGGGGTCTGTGTTATTCTTTTTTGGGCCTATTTCCTGCTATGTAGATGGAAAAGTAGTGTTTTGTTTATCCAGCAGGCATATTTATTTAGGATTGTTTGTTAAGCAAATCTGCAGGTCTCAGCTGAGATTCTGCAACGCATTTCATATAGCAGGAGCCAGCCTGTGCCTCCAGGAGATTTTTATCTGTACAGTCAAGTTAGAAAAAAAGGTGACTAGGAAAGGAGAGCAAATCACAAAGTAATTGCCGAAGGTTGCTCATGCTAGAGCCCGTGACAGCTGAAAGTGAGTAATGGAATCTCAGCTCTGCTTTTTGCCGTGTGAGTGGCAAAATCTGCTTTGGCTCTGGAGAGCTCTTTTGAGCACCAAGGTGAAAGACCCAGGCTATATCAGCGAACCTTAAAGCTCTGGTTACTGAGCAAAGACCTTGTGTAGCACACATAATAGTGAGCAATCCAGGTGCAGGAAATGTTAACACTTTTATGTGGCAGTGCTAAACTGAAGATGCGTGCATGCCCAAACAGCAGTACCTTTCCACAATCCCTTCTCTGCCTAAACCTACTAATGTTCTTTTATCTCCTGCATGATAAACACTTTCATGTGTCCTTTTCTGCTTGCTATGAAGCAAAACAGAATTTCAGCTCTCTGGCTTGCCAGCCTGTTTCACACTGTCATCCATTACGCAGGATCCCACCTGCCTTCCTACCCAAAAGACAAGTCATTTCTCCTGACCACTGGCTCCCCCTTCCCCTACAACCCAGTGCCTCGCTGCAAGCACCACGGCATCTTGGTGTGCCATTGTTATTCTTCAGACATCCCTTCTGTCCCTCACTTTACTTTGCCCTACGCTGTCTATATGTGCTGTATTTTAAACTATCTAGACAAGCAGGAAGAGTAATTAAATGTGAAGTGTTTCAGGATGAAATGCATTAAACAAAAAGAAATTGTATAAATATGTAAATAATTGAATCTGTGTGCTGAATCTTCTTAACACCAAGCAGCTTTGCTCAAAATAGATGAAATAATGGTTTAGTATAAAAATTAAAAGGTTTTGATTTACCGGTTGTTTGGAATACATTGTAAAATCGAGACTTCTAAAAACAAGAGCTAAAGAAAACCCTGGAAGAGCTTCACGTCTACATACCTAGAATTATTTGTCTATGATCCTGAATTGCAGAAGTCTGGATAGCTCCAGTCACCCTTGACTGAAATAATCATACTTGAAACCCATGTAATATCCAGGTGTGGATCCATCTGGGAGATGCAACCAGGGGCAGTACTGCCCTCGTATACTCCGGTGAAGGCACGGGACATCCATTTTATTGCAAGAAGGAAGGGAAGCGGCTCTTACCCTCTCATCCCCAACCAAATCGCCCATGCCAGTATACTGAAAAGGAGAGAGCATGGCATAGCACTGCTTGGCAATGAGGCACTAGGCTGGCCATGGGAAAGTCAAGATCCAGCCCTATTCTAGTGAGTACTTAATTATTTGGAGAAAACACAGCAAGATTTTAAGGAAACGTTGTGAGACACCTCCCTGTGCCAACAAAACCCAGCTCTCCTGACGCAAGGAAAACTTTGGCTGATGTATCTGCTCCCAGCCAGGTAGTTTGAGGTCGTTAAAACCCCGGCAAGTGCCCTAACTGCTGTATTATGGAGTGAACCAAATGCATAGCCAAGGCTTTCTCCTAGCTGTCCTTAGCTTTCTTAGTACACATGGGCCACGCAGAGACAGGATGAAAAACGCTCAGAGGACAGGCAAGGGCTCGGGGGATGCCAGCAAAGCTCTAGGCAGATAAGAGGTAAGCAGCCCAGCAGCTAAACCTTGGGGCTAGCTCGTGATTGCAAGGTTATGCCTGAACCCTTAATCCGGAATTCCTGTTTCCCCTCTCCTTGGCTGCTCTTTAAAACAAAACAAAATTAAATCAGGAGGAGACTGATACAAAAACCTTCTGGGTTGCATCAAGGTAATAAATCAAGAGCACTGCAGACCATTCCCCACCAATCTAGCAGTTAGCACACACGGGCTGGCTCTGAGCAGCAACATCTGTTACTCCAGTTACAGTACTGCCATGTATTTTGATAACCTTTATGTATGTTTTGAAAAAGCATTAGCAAAATATTTGCAGTAGCTCAGTCTCGACACGAAACATGCTACAAGCGACATGTTAGTTGTCTGGTTCTTACCTGGTCATTCTCTTCTTCGTCACTGCTTAACTTCAGGTCATCTTCTAGCATTCTGGAAAGCAAGCAGTAGAATAAATTACAATTTACCAAAATGCTTTAGATCCGATGTTTTCTCTGAGCTACTGTAAACATTTAATAATTTAAATAGAAAGAAAATATATTTCATCCCAGTAACTCTGTAGATGTGACACTTTACAACTTTTTTCTTATCCAGTTGCTATCAACTAACTTCTTAATTCATTTCTCACTATTACTGCCTAAGGGAAAATGTTTACCAGAGTAATAACGGATTTTGCAAAGATTCTTGTTATTACAATCACTGACAAACAATTTTTATATGCTAAAAATAATATTTTTGATGCTGACAGGTCAGTAGTATCTCTGAAAGGAAAATTTTGCTCCATTTGGCTTTGAGCTTACAAAACAGAAGTAGATATTTACACTGGCAGTACTGCAGCACAAAATAAGATTCAGTGATGTTTCCCAAAGGCCATTTTTACTTTATTGCATGTTTGATGTAAAATTGACATTGACTGAAACAATTAAAACTAAAATATATTGTCTCAGTGCACAAGAGTACCCACAAGGATTTCACTGTCATATAAACATAGAGAATAATGCATCTTTTCTAAGGGGGATTCCATCCTCCCTTCCCATAACCTTTTCTCAACTTGCTTACACTGGCTCACAAAGAGGAGGCATTTGTTTTTACCTCTATGCATTTTTTTTTACAAGCTTGGATTAAGTAACCAACAGTTAAAGGAGTTGAAAAGGTGTAAAGATTTCCTACAGTGCTTAAAGGTCTTCAAGAATGGGACCTATTTTTTTAAAAAAGCCTCTGTAATAATAATTCAGAAAGTTTCTAATTTTTATTGTGTTCTGGGAAAAGAGAATCTGTAATTTTGTCTTGACTCCAGAAAGCTTGGTGAGCAATTCAAACACATCCTGTGACGTGGGTGGTCCCCGGAGTGTAAATATATCAAGAAGACATATGTAGTAATTTCAAACCACCTCCTTATACTTGTGCCTAGATCTTCCAGGAGCGTGCCTGAAAAGCGTGACTCTTACATGGGCAACATGGTGTGCTGTGTCTTAAAAGAGCACTGAGCCTAACCACCCCCCTCTCAGCTCCTCGCTGTATGTAGGCCCTGCCTGTTCCTGCTGTCACAGCTGCTTCCCTACTTCCCTGCAGCACCTTTCAGGGAACGTAGGTGTATAAGAACAGGATCGGGGGTCAGAGCAGAAACTCCCACTAGTTCATCTCTTAAAGACTCTTGTCTTGCTTTTTTCCCACATTTCCTTCTACTCGTGCCAAGATTTTTCCTCTGTTAAATCAACATATCAAATTCAGCAAAATCTCATTGCAATGCAGACACCTCAAGTATATAAGACACCCATCGAGTTATAGAGACTTGACAATCTCACAGCAAGTCTCACCCAGCTTTTATCCAGAAATATGTCCACAGTCAGGAAAAAGTTTGCCCTGCCATCTCCTGAGTCAGCAAAATCTCTGGTGGCGGTACCAATGCAGCCACTGGCCAAGTTAGCAAGCCCTGCTGAGAAGTAGGCAAGCAAGTGGGACAGGTATGAATGACATAGGATTTAGGTCATAGGAGCTAAAATATGTCAGAGAGGCAAAGTATACTATAAACACTGCAAGATCCACATTGGCTTTGGATCCCACCACTTGCAGGTATCCAAATAATCTTTTAATTGCTTGTTTTTTTTTCAGTTAGATCTGTTTAGGGCATCCCTGAGAAAATAGTGCTTGAAAATAGAAAGATCTGGGACTGGGCATTATGCAATAAAATGTGACAAAATCTGTTATTTAACCAGGGAGACGTGCTTATTGTGAAAAGCAGAGCACACATGATACCACTGCCTGCGCTCCCTTGAGTTTGAGTGCATGAATTTCTGCTAGTGAGGTGGCAGCTAAGCATACTGTTTAAGATTTAGTAATTTAGCTCTTCTCCTAAAGGGAAACTGAAAACCAGAAGTGTTTCATGAAATGTTCTAGGTATCTCTATGTATTTATTAGTGCCCTGACTTTCTGTATCAACACAGAAAATTACTATTGTGAGCCTGTGATTAGATGCAACTATGACGCTTCAAAGGCTTCAGGTTGTGAGGAAGTGTAACTGGAGCTAAGGCGAGGCACCAGGAGTGCAAGCATAAACCATCCACACGAAAGAAAAAAGAAACTTCAGAGCTGGCCCATCAGCCTCTGCTTGCTCATATGTTTTAGCCCATCTTTATTTTCCCTGTCTGTTTCTCATTTCAGAAGCACTGCTCTCCAAGAAAAGCATTGCCTGCCCAGTGCTTGTGGCCACTTCTGGAACTACCATCAACATACAAACAATCTCCTAACACTGGGGATAGGAAAAAACAGGTCATCATAAAATGCATGCTTGCTTGCTTGCCCTTTTTTCCCCCTAGAGAGGGATCTGGCCCGCCTGATCCATGTATTCATTACAAAGACATATCAGGTTAAGACAGCTTGCCAATGTAGAGGTCTACCTTGTAAAGGCAGGAGCTGTTTTCCTACTGTGCAGGTATAACCTCTGTGCCTACAAGTCTTCACTGGTTCCCAGACTTCTTTCTCTGTCAGGTGAGACCCTCAGCCCTGATCTACAAAGCTACAGCCAGAGTGGGACACGCTGTCACACTGGACTTCAGCTTCACCCACTAGCAGTCCTGGAGAGTGAGGCTTTTTGGACATCAGGCAGCTCTCAAAGCCCAGGCTGAAGCATGTCCTGCGTGAGGAGGAGATATTTGTGTCAGAAGGACTCCAGTTTGCAGTAAGTGTCTTAAGGAAGCTAGACCAATTTTGAGTCTGGATGCTTCCGAGGAACACTCCTCCTCGACAACTCATCTCCATCATGACAACGATGATGGTTAAAAGAAAAAGTCCATAACTGGACCAGCAGACCCCACTTGAAGACAGTGAGTAGGGAAGAGAAGAAAAATACTTTAAGCTCCTAAGAGGCATTACGTTAATTTGTAATTTATCTGAAAAGCACTTTGGCACAGATTCAGCACAGAATGAGCTTTGGTGCACCCTATGTTCAGATCACGTTTAAATCAACCCCTGCTTGGGATAGAATTTCTTTACGTATTCTGGCAAACTAGTACAAGGATGGACAGACAAACACATAGAAGCTCAAACCAGGACACAGCCCTTTCAACACAGCCTATCTATAGCTATTTTCTGTAACACCTTTTTCAGAATATGCAAAATCCAGGCCAGCAAGTGACATCATCCATGGGCTCAAAGATTTTTTGAAATGGATTTGGCTTTGATGTAAAAAGATAAGTAAATAAAGTGGTGGGGTTTTTTTTTTTGTAAACAAAAGCTAGAAAAATGAAGTGGCACTCGAAGCAGTTCCGAAAAACACAATCCACCACTTAGGGCTCCTGCACTTGAAAGGAGTGTGTATGGTCAGGAAGTTACATTGCAGAACCTAATTACACATTTTTAGTGAAATCTCCGTGAGGTCGCGGAGGCAGAGAAGGGTGGGAGGCTCGGGCAGGAGTGCTCACTGCACTCTAATTAATGCATTTGTTCCTTTCTTCACAAAGAACGTGACAGGTAGAGACATAATGAAAGGAAATGAGGATCAGTTTGGGATACTGAGAAATGCCTCAGCAGGCCAGCTGGTTTCTTTCTCCACTAACCAATTAAGGGGTTGCAGCCAGGTTGCTGGGCCACTCAGTTATGGTGGGAAAGGAGAAAGGTAGTGAGGGGCTACTTACAGGTAATGAAAAATAGACAGAAAGTCTTCTAGAGTGCATCAATATCCAGTATCTGTCAATACCAATGTGACTGCATGTCCAAATCTTCTACACAGCTTACTGGAAAGCCTGACTTCTTTCATCCAGGGGCTGCTCACTGCATTAGTTCTGGGCTACCAGAACTACAGGGGTGAGGTGACTATGTGGGGCACTGCAGAGGGACCTTTCAGGACTCCTGCTCATCCCAGCATGTTGAAGGGCCAGGAGATGCTCCTGGTCGAAAGTAGTCGAGGTTTGGGATGGGAGGCCATCACAGGCTACCTGGGAACCACCTTGTTCAAAAGGAATGCTCAAGTTAAGACTCGCAGCTTCACTGTTTCATCTGTCTTTTTTCCTGATTTGTTGTGGCTGGGAAGACAAGTCCCAAGCAAGGACTACCTTCAGCCCCAGCCAGAGTCCAGGGGACAGCAGGAAGACACCTAATTTCCCCTCCGGGAACTAACATCAAAATAACACCAAGTTTCAAGTGTGAGGGTACAGCCAGAGCCCAGGTCAAAGATTTTTGAGTTTGAAAGAGCTGGAGAAGGAGCTGCTGCTGCTGGGGAAGGATATGTTGATGGTGCGGTGTCTGGGTGAGGCAGTCTTCAACAGCCCGCTGGGAATCAGCTGCAACTTTTAACGTCTGGAGCCGATCTGAGACCCTTCCAGCATAGTCGTGCTTAGGACACCTATTTTCTTCTAGGGTGAAGACACCTGGGAATGAAACTTCACATCTGCTGGTGCACACGAAAGAAGCAGCAAGCATCACACCTTGCGTCTTACTTTAACCTCTGACACATTTTACATTCCTTGGCCTAATGAATTCTTTCCTTCCCCCCCTGCAAACTACTTATTGAGGCGTAAAAATCTCAAAAAATGCCTCTGTGGGGTATTTTTTTGTGATTAGAGAGATTCCCTTTTGGCATGTAAATCAAAGGACAAGAAAAGGGGCCCTGAAGATTTTCAAGAGAGGTTATGAAAATGAGGGGCAAAACCCTCCTTGTGTCCCTCTGGCGGTCTAAGACTATACGAGACATGATCTTCATGAGAATTATGATAATTAGAACAAAAAAAAAGATTGAGATGGGAAAGGAAAAATATTGATAGTAATTAAATCATTAACAGTAATGCTTTAGGAGAGAACATGTCAATGGTTTGCAAGCCCAGGGCACAAATGTATGTATGTTGCAATTGGCATTTAAATAAATTCAGAAGTCACCATCTTTGCAATTTGTGAAAGATCTCATGAATGTGTTAATCTGATCAAGTATATTGTTCCAT